ATAATGTGTCTCCATGTAGGTTTGGATCACATAGTGTGTCTCCATGTAGGTCTGGATCACATAGTGTGTCTCCATATTTGTCTGGATCACATAGTGTGTCTCCATGTAGGTCTGGATCACATAGTGTGTCTCCATGTAGGTCTGGATCACATAGTGTGTCTCCATGTAGGTCTGGATCACATAGTGTGTCTCCATGTAGGTCTGGATCACATAGTGTTTCCATGTAGGTCTGGATCACATAGTGTGTCTCCTTGTAGGTCTGGATCACATAGTGTGTCTCCATGTAGGTCTGGATCACATAGTGTGTCTCCATGTAGGTCTGGATCACATAGTGTGTCTCCATGTAGGTCTGGATCACATAGTGTGTCTCCATGTAGGTCTGGATCACATAGTGTGTCTCCATGTAGGTCTGGATCACATAGTGTGTCTCCATGTAGGTCTGGATCACATAGAGTGTCTCCATGTAGGTCTGGATCACATAGTGTGTCTCCATGTTTATCTGGATTACATAGTGTGTCTCCATGTAGGTCTGGATCACATAGTGTGTCTCCATGTAGGTCTGGATCACATAGTGTGTCTCCATGTTTGTCTGGATCACATAGTGTGTCTCCATGTTTGTCTGGATCACATAGTGTGTCTCCATGTTTGTCTGGATCACATAGTGTGTCTCCATGTTTATCTGGATCACATAGTGTGTCTCCATGTAGGTCTGGATCACATAGTGTGTCTCCATGTAGGTCTGTATCACATAGTGTGTCTCCATGTAGGTCTGGATCACATAGTTTGTCTCCATGTAGGTCTGGATCACATAGTGTGTCTCCATGTAGGTCTGGATCACATAGTGTGTCTCCATGTAGGTCTGAATCACATAGTGTGTCTCCGTGTTGGTATGGATCACATAGTGTGTCTCCATGTAGGTCTGGATCACATAGTGTGTCTCCATGTTTGTCTGGATCACAATGTGTGTCTCCATGTAGGTCTGGATCACATAGTGTTTCTCCATGTAGGTCTGGATCACATAGTGTGTCTCCATGTAGGTCTGGATCACATAGTGTGTCTCCATGTAGGTCTGGATCACATAGTGTTTCTCCATGTAGGTCTGGATCACATAGTGTTTCTCCATGTAGGTCTGGATCACATAGTGTGTCTCCATGTAGGTCTGGATCACATAGTGTGTCTCCATGTAGGTCTGGATCACATAGTGTGTCTCCATGTAGGTCTGGATCACATAGTGTGTCTCCATGTAGGTCTGGACCACATAGTGTGTCTCCATGTAGGTCTGGATCACATAGTGTGTCTCCATGTAGGTCTGGATCACATAGTGTGTCATGTTATCCTTCAAAGAAGTTTTCATTCAACAGAACTCTATTATATAACCTAGTTGGGTTATTGAGGCTGGGACTTTGGGTAGTTTCAAATTTAGGTTGGATAAGTACATGAGTGGGAGGGGTTGGATTTGAGTGGGACTTGCACATCAGAGCTTATTTCTTGGGTGGCATTGAAAATTGGGTTGGGCAAATGTTTTGTTAGTGGGATGAATTGTAAAGGACCTGCCTATTATGGGCCAACAGGCCTCCTGCAGTGTTCCTCCTTTCTTATGTTCTTATGTTCTTATATTCAGATTAAGTCTCGTAGTTGACTGGTTCCTGAGGATCATCAATGATCTCAACTACACAACATTGCATATTATAGAGGAATAGCTAGTTAACTATAGGCTGAAATCATGCAAGTAAATAACAGAAAAAATTATGTGATTATTCCTCAAGTAACTCGACCATTGAACATTAAAATGGTATAAAATACCGACAGGTTGTTAGGTAAGACACATATGTGTCTTACCTAACAACTCGACCATTGTTTTGAAGCAATCAAAACAATGGTTTAGGACACAGGTCTCCAAACTGCGGCCCACCACAAGATATTATACGGCCCGCAGCAATTTGAAATATTTATTAATAGTATTACTAATAAACCATCATTTTCAGTCACTTAAAGTTATGATTTTTTTCCTTGTAGCAATTTATATGTTCAAATTGGTTGAAATTTAACTCTAATCTTTTTATTTTTCAGATATACCCTTCAGTTATGGAAGGAATAGAACAGTGTAGAGTGAGTCCGACTGTTTAATGTAGACTGGGGGGCGTAAAGTGCTTCTTTGTACCACCAGATGATAAAGTCTTGTGTGTCGTAAGCCACGAAAGTTGCAGTTTTGAAGGATTATAATGTACATCGGTACTGTAAGACCAAACATAAACCAAGTTATTCCCAATTCATAGGAACAGCGTTGGGAAAATTTTGAATTAATGCAACGCAGGTTGATTCCCAATAATTTTCAGTTTCAATGTCTCATATTTGATGAATCGAATGATGTGACGCATCACAACTCCTGGTATTCATCCGTGACGTTGATAATGAATTCAGTGTCACACAAGAATTAGCATCAATGCATAACATGAGCAGCACAGGAACCGGAGAAGACATCTTCAAAGAACTGCAAAACATTGTATTAGAATATATCCTGGAGTGGAATAAACTGCAATACGTGACAGTTGATGGATGAGAGAACAAATCACAAAAGATTGTGAAGATGGTGGATTCTCAAAGCCCAGGCTTCTGCATTGCGCTATCAAACAGCAAACATTGTGCGGAAAATATGTGAATATATCTTGCATTCTGAAACCTGTTGTTTCAACAGTGAATTTCATTCTGTTTCACGAGCCTAATCATCGCCAGTTTCGTGATCTAAAAGAAACTGATTCTGAGTTCGTTGACTTACCATATACAGCAGCTCGATGGCTTACTTGTGGAAAGGTTCTATCAAGGTTCTTTCAACCCAGAAAGGAAATTGATTAATTTCCCACAGAGAAGAATCGTCCCAAACCATTTTTCTCAAACATTGACTGGTTTTGGAAATTAGAATTTATTGCAGCTGTGACAAGGCATATGAATCAATTGACCCTGAAGTTGTAAGGTGAAACAAATTTGATCTGTGATTTATTCAGGCATATCTAGGCATTCAAGGCAAAATTGATGCTGCATTAAAATGGTATGAAATACGACAGATTGTTAGGTAAGACACATATGCAACAGTTAGGTATTTTTATTTCGAAACGTTTCGCCTACACAGTAGGCTTCTTCAGTCGAGTACAGAAAAGTTGATAGAAGCAGAAGAGACTTGAAGACGATGTAATCAGTCCATCACCCTTAAAGTTTTGAGGTGGTCAGTCCCTCAGTCTGGAGAAGAGCATTGTTCCATTGTCTGGAATAATATGGAGTTGAAGTGATAGGATGAGCCTTATATAGCGCCAGGAGGTGAGCCGTAGGTCACTAGTAGAGTAAGAATATACAGACTTGGAACCACTGACCACCTCAAAACTTTAAGGGTGATGGACTGATTACATCGTCTTCAAGTATCTTCTGCTTCTATCAACTTTTCTGTACTCGACTGAAGAAGCCTACTGTGTAGGCGAAACGTTTTGAAATAAAAATACCTAACTGTTGCATATGTGTCTTACCTAACAAAATTGATGCTATTTGAAGGACATGTGAAGGTTTCTAACTTGGTTCATTTTCCATGTTGTCAAAAAATTCAAGAAAGTGAAGCAGAATTTCCTTCTTCATTTACAACACAAATCATTAATGACTTGCAAAAAACAATTTCAGAAACAATTTTTTGATCTTGATGTAAAGTAGGTGAAAAAAAATCGTTTCACAATGCATTTTACTGCGGTATTGAAACACTCCCACGTAAGTTTCAAACTGAAATTATTGATCGTCAGTCAGATGACAAACTGAAAGAAAAGTATAAAGAAGGAAATCTGACCTAATTTTGTAATTTTTTCAACCTGAACAGTTTCCAATTTTGAAGTGATTATACTTGTTTATTCGTACCAGTTTTTTGGTACAACGTATCTTTGTAAACAAACATTTTCAAAATGTTTCAATATCACACAAATTTATCTGAGAGTAAGACACATGTGCAACATCTGTGTATCTTTATTGTAGACGTTTCGCCCATCCAGTGGCTTTATCAATACAAATTCTAGGATATAACTTGAAGACAGTAGAACTATGTACAGAAGATGAGGTAATCAGTCCCTCAACCTAGGAGTAGGTGCGAACAGCACCATAGTCTTAATTCTGAGGACATGTACACAACCTTCACAACTACGACAACTACTACTACAACTAACCCATCTCTTTGGGAAGGACCTATTCCACTGGGAATCCCGCCTACCATGAATATGCCCTCGTCTGCTACAACTGGACGTTTAAATATTAAGCGCCAGATTCTTTCTTCTGCTTCAATTCCCCGACTAGGTGCTGTTCGCACCTACTCCAGGTTGAGGGACTGATTACTCATTTTGTAATAGTTCTACTGTTCAAGTTATGTCTGAATTTGTATTGATAAAGCCACTGGATGGCGAAAAAGTCTACAATAAGAATACACAGATGTTGCACATGTGTCTTACTCTCATCTTGTCGGTATTATATACCATTCGTACACAACAAATTTATCTGACGAACATTTGAAGTTTATTATAAGAACATTCTAATAATTGGCTCCTAAAGCTCAGTTCAATAATATTTTGAAATTAAAAAAACCTGTTCCGTCATTCTCGTTAATCTTGTGCATATTAATCTTGTGTTAGTTTTTCTCATCTGCAGTTCAGTAATTCATTATGCTTGGCATTTTGACTCATTATATATGTCTCAGTGTAAGGTCGGTACTGAAGAATGAGAAACTTATGCAACATATGGGAATCTTTGAGGAAACGTTTCGCCACACAGTGGCTTCATCAGTCCAATACAAAGCAGGTGAAGGGGGTGGGGGAGTTTGAGGTAATCAGTTTCTCAACCTGGAATCGATGCATTGGACTGATGAAGCCACTGTGTGGCGAAACGTTTCCTCAACGAAGATTCCCATATGTTGCACAAGTGTCTCATTCTTCATCTTGTCGGTTTTCGAAACCATTTATCAAAACCATGGTAGTATTGTTTCTTCGTAATTGTCACTTTTCTCTTTTGTTCTCAATCACATCATGATGATTGAAAAAAAAAACTTATTCATCCATTTAAATTTATTTATAAGACTTATTTTTTTCCTTTCCCAACGAAAACGTGTAAAATATAAACGTGTGACTCTCGTAGTGAAAATTTTGGAAACCCCCAAGTTTAGGATATTATCTGGCTACCTCATCACATCAACCTATTATAGGTGTATATTTAAATTAGATAAAGATAAATTTAGATGGCAAATGAACTGGTTAAAAAAGTTATTAGGAATGTTATAACTTCAAGTGAAAAAGAAACTTACTCTACGGCATCAATACTCCATATTTCCCCAGGACTGTACTGTGTTCTCATAATGGTGGAGAACACATTTCTGATGCCAATAAAATCAGCCGCCAGTCTGAAAAAAAATATATGTTTATATATGTTCGCCCTATAATCGGCGATACACACCGTACATGCCACCTTTATATCAACAATGTATCTCTGTATATATATATATATATATATATATATATATATATATATATATATATATATATATATATATATATATATATATATTTTATATATATATATATATATATATATATATATATATATATATATATATATATAAGACAAGACAAGCCACGGGGGAGATCTTTAGTTCAAGTACTTTCACACTTCTCAGTGCATCATCAGGAGCTGTACAATGTTGCAAGGGCAGCAACAGGAGAAGTAGGGTAAGTTTTTCAGAGAGTGGTAGTGCGGTGGCACCAACCTCTGACTGAGGTAGATAGGCCAGCGGAATGCCAACCACACATCGGTCCCCCCAAACTCCACCACATATGGGGTCAGGTGGAGTAGGCCCCACAGTTTGCAGATAGGAGATAGTTAATAGCCAGACCTGAGTTTCTAACAGCTGGGAACAGGTCGTTATGTAAGAAGTTATATTACAATAGTGGATCATTTACATACAGAATGCAGCTAATGTGAACAACCTTCTAACTGATGAAATAGAGGGAATAAATCCCTCATTTTGTCAACCGGTTGCAGAACATTCCAGAATATTCAGGAAATACTCTGTACTCACCTAACTGTACTCTGTGTTAATATGTACTCTGTGTTAATATGCCTGTGTGAATTCTCGTATTCAAGCTTTCCTTTCTTATAATTAGGCAATTCCTGATTTTTAACACCATTATTATCCACTATCATTTGCTAATAATATTATTGTTAACAGTATAATATTACTAACAACCTAATTCAATAAACCACTGAACTAGTTGCAATCACCAGGTTGCAGTCAACTATGTGTACCTTGTACTGCTGTACCTAGATGGGTTAGGATCTCTATAGGTCACTCTGCACACATACCTAAATGAACCATCATGACTACTTCCTTACTACTGATGTTATATCACTCACGTTGCAGTCTATATTGCAGCACACCACCTAGAGCACCTCTAGCATTACGATACTTGTATGCAGCAGCATCTGAGTGGGCTATACCAACGGCAGACCTAACATTAAATATCGCCGTTTGCGACAGACTTAACAAGATGTTATATATTATATATCGACGTTCACGACGGGCGTACCACGATGTTCAGTTTGTAGACTCTGGTCAAACATAACTGAAACATCATGAAACCCCCTGGCAAAAGGAGCAATCTTGCTCTTTTGTATAGCACAATACATTCCATTAAATAACTATTGAGTTTGTACAGCCCATATGGGACTTTTTAAATGTAAAAGACTACCCTTTGGAATTTCCTCAACTGGTATTTTCCAAAAATTTATTTCCCAGTTGTTTGTTAAATTTGGATGATATCATAATGAAGCTGACCATGATGATAGACTCAGGCAGGTGATGAATATTTTGCAAGAGCATAATGTAGTACTGAATAAGAATAAGTCAGTGTTGAAAACCAGATCAATTGAATATCTGGGGCATGAAATTTCAGGGGAGGGTATTAAAACATCTAAGGTGGAGGCTATTGTGAATTTACCTTCACCTGAATCTATAGGTGAAATTCTCCTTTAAGGGGATGATGCCATATTACTGTAAATTCATTAAAAACTTTTCTTTAATTTTGGCACCATTGTATGATTTATTAAAAAAAGGCGGATATATTTGAGTGGTCTTCAGTGGAAGAGGAAGCTGTTCAAAGAATTAAAAAACAATTAGTGTTCAGTTTGTTGACTAATTTTACAGCAGAACATCCATTAATAATTGAGGTTGATGCTCCTCTATAGGTGTTGGATGTGTGTTAATCCAAGAAGTAAATGGCCAGGAAAAACCTGTATATTTTTCTAGTAAGAAACTTTCTCCAGCAGAACAGAATTATTCTCAACTTGATAAAGAAGGTCAAGGTTAAGAAATTCATATATTTTTTGCTAGGAAGAAAATTTGTTGCTCACACAGATCATAAACATTGTTAGGTTTGTTTGGAAAAGAAGAACATATTCCAGTAAATGCAAATGCCAGAATTCAGCGTTGGTCTCTGTTATTAGCTCAGTGTGATTATGAACTGTTAATCAAGGCTGGCAAGGAAAATGTTATTGCAGATGCATTAAGGAGACTACCTATTGAAGATCACAGCTTAGAGTCAGTTACACCTATGGAATATGTAAGATTAGTAGAGTCACTTGATTTACAAAATATAGTGGACCCCCGGCATCCGATATTAATCCGTTCCTGAGAGCTCATCGTATGCCGATCCCATCGTATGCCGGGGGTCCACTGTATCTCATTTGACAAAATCAAAGAGATAACTGGGATAGATGCTATGTTATCCGAAGTAGTAAATAATGTTAAATTTGGGTGGTGTAAGAACAGTGTACCTTTATCTGACTATAATTCTGTCAAATCAGATCTGACTATTTGTGATGATGTATAATTATATAAGAATAGAATGGTATTGCTTGTAAAATTAAGATGTAAGGTATTAGAGCATTTACATATGAGTCATAATGGTATCAATGATATGAAAGCAGAAGCAAGGACGTGGGTCTAGCAGCCAAAGATGGACCAAGATATTGCGGAAGTGACAAAGAATTATCCGATTTGTTTATAGAATTTTAAGCCAAGTTCATCTCCTGTCCTATCTTGGCCCAGCACTGGGAAACCATGGTCTAGAGTGCATATAGATTATCTTGGCCCAGCACTGGGAAACCATGGTCTGGAGTGCATATACACTATCTTGGTCCAGCACTGGGAAACCATGGTCTGGAGTGCATATAGACTATCTTGGTCCAGCACTGGGAAACCATGGTCTGGAGTGCATATACACTATCTTGGTCCAGCATGGAAACATGGTCTGGAGTGCTAAGAATCTTGCAGCACTGGGAAACCATGGTCTGGAGTGCATATAGACTATCTTGGCCCAGCACTGGGGAACCATGGTCTGGAGTGCATATACACTATCTTGGCCCAGCACTGGGAAACCATGGTCTGGAGTGCATATACACTATCTTGGCCCAGCACTGGGAAACCATGGTCTGGAGTGCATATAGACTATGCAGGTCCAGTTGAGGTCAAATATTTTTTGGTAATTGTAAATTCCTTTTCAAAATTCTTAGATGTACATGTAACCAATTTCATGACATCCAAAGTTACTACTGAGTTCCTGAGGAAATCCTTTTGTAATTTTGGTTTACCAGACATAGCTGTGTCAGATAATGCTGCAATTCCAGGAACAGCTGTTAAAAATTGACCACTGTCTGGAAAATCTTCCAGCTCCTGCACCCAACATCTTGCTCCTGGGGGATTTCAACTTAAGGCACCTAAAATGGAGGAATATAGCAAATAATATTGTTGCAGTAATAACACCAGGAGGCAGCTCTGATGAAAACTCACACTCACACGAGCTTTTAAATCTCTGCACAAAATTCAATTTAAACCAGCAAATAATAGAGCCTACTAGACTGGAGAATACACTAGACCTCACCTTCACTAACAATGATGATCTGATAAGAAATATCACCATATCAAAAACAATATACTCAGATCACAACATAATTGAGGTTCAGACATGTATGCGTGGAGCCCCAGACCGACATAATGAGACTAGTCACGAGGGAGCATTCACCAAATTCAACTTCAATAACAAAAACATAAAGTGGGACCAAGTAAACCAAGTCCTAACCGATATAAGCTGGGAAGATAGACTAAGCAACACAGACCCCAACTTATGCCTAGAACAGATTAACTCGGTGGCACTCGATGTATGCACAAGGCTTATTCCTCTAAGAAAAAGGAGGAGTAGATGTAAAATAGAAAGAGAAAGGCGGTCCCTTTACAGGCGACGGAAAAGAATAACAGAGCGGCTAAAAGAGGTCAATATATCTGAAATGCGTAGGGAGACACTGGTCAGAGAAATAGCAAGCATCGAACTTAAGCTAAAAGAATCCTTTAGGAGTCAGGAATCGCGGGAAGAACTAAAAGCCATAAATGAAATCGAAAGAAACCCAAAATATTTCTTCTCCTATGCCAAATCAAAATCGAGAACAACGTCCAGTATTGGGCCCCTACATAAACAAGATGGGTCCTACACAGATGACAGCAAGGAAATGAGTGAGCTACTCAAGTCCCAATATGACTCAGTTTTTAGCAAGCCGCTAACCAGACTGAGAGTCGAAGATCAAAATGATTTTTTTATGAGAGAGCCACAAAATTTGATTAACACAAGCCTATCCGATGTAATCCTGACGCCAAATGACTTCGAACAGGCGATAAATGACATGCCCATGCACTCTGCCCCAGGGCCAGACTCATGGAACTCTGTGTTCATGAAGAACTGCAAGAAGCCCCTATCACGAGCCTTTTCCATCCTATGGAGAGGGAGCATGGACACGGGGGTCGTCCCACAGTTACTAAAAACAACAGACATAGCCCCACTTCACAAAGGGGGCAGTAAAGCAACAGCAAAGAACTGAAGACCAATAGCACTAACATCCTATATCATAAAAATCTTTGAAAGGGTCCTAAGAAGCAAGATCACCACCCATCTAGAAACCCATCAGTTACACAACCCAGGGCAACATGGGTTTAGAACAGGTCGCTCCTGTCTGTCTCAACTATTGGATCACTACGACAAGGTCCTAAATGCACTCGAAGACAAAAAGAATGCAGACGTAATATATACAGACTTTGCAAAAGCCTTCGACAAGTGTGACCATGGCGTAATAGCGCACAAAATGCGTGCTAAAGGAATAACAGGAAAAGTCGGTCGATGGATCTATAATTTCCTCACTAACAGAACACAGAGAGTAGTCGTCAACAGAGTAAAGTCCGAGGCAGCTACGGTGAAAAGCTCTGTTCCACAAGGCACAGTACTCGCTCCCATCTTGTTCCTCATCCTCATATCCGACATAGACAAGGATGTCAGCCACAGCACCCTGTCTTCCTTTGCA